GATTGTCTGTCACAGTTGGGGAGGTACTTTCCCTCCAGATGCCCTTTGATGCAGCTAGCAGGAAGAGAATGCAAATGCTAGTCTGCTCTGGCCAAGAATCCATCTCCCTGTTGCTGATTGGATTACATGGCAGAGAGGCAAGTGTGTCTGTCACTGAGAAGAGTGATGTGTTGTACGGGGAAACCAAGGGGATCGAGTGCAATGAGGAGGCAAGGAAAGGAGTACAGGTATGGGAGAATTCTCCCTAACCTTATGCCATTCTGCCCAAAGTGGTATTAATAATGCCACATTTGTGTTCAAGTCAGTCCAGGAGGATGGGAGAGAGACCAAAAGGGTCAGTAAGTCGCCTGTGCATCAAGCCCTTCTCTAGGCACATTTTCATGTGGTCACTGTATAAAGGAGTTAACATGTACTTAGGGCTTATTTTACTTGAGGCATTTATATGCATTATCCCATTTAAATCTCACAGTTCTCTGAGGCGGATGCTATGTGACTCTCAATTTTGCAGAGAAAACTGAAGCTTGGGGGGGGGCGTGGAGAATAATTTCCTCTAGTTTACATTGCCAGGATAAGAGGGAGCCAGGACCTGAGCCCAGATCTGCCTGAGCCCAGAGCTTGTGTGTGTCACCACCGCCCTCCATCATCTCTCTTTGGCAGATAGGAAACTGGCTCAGAAATGTTGTGTCCAAGGTCACACAGCTAACAGGTAGCAGAGCTGGGATTCATGGAGAGTCCGTACAGACATCATGTCCTTTCTCTGGAACCTCTCAACACTGCTGTATCCCAAGACCACGGCGACCTGCAATAATTTAAGGGGAAATGTGGTTCTTCCAGGAATGTTAGCTTGAATAGGCTAGGATGAAACAATCCCAGGGCTGCTACTGAGAAACAGGGACTCTGGTGTGATTCCCCACAAGCTTGCTAGGAGTGGAGGGTAAGGAGAGGGATGTTTCAGATAAATCATCCTGTATCTTCAAACAAAAACAGTAACACTGCAAGCTCATGGACATTTCTGAGCTCCCTAAGGATCAGACCTAAAGGTCTGAGGGCTTTGAAAATTGTTAACCCAGTAGAAAGACTAGACTCTAAAATTCCTTCTTAAACATGCATCTTATGAGAGGCCAAGAGAAATGTTATATACTTCATTGCTTATATAAATAGAAACAAATTCCTGGAGGGCAGGAACCATGCTGCATGGTACTTAGAATACTTAGCCCTCAAGTCCTTCTCCCCTGTTACCTACTAAGTCCCAGAGAAGGAATTTCCAGTGCCAGGGAAGATATTTACAAGTTGGAGGGAGGGGAAAGGGCAACCCCTGCTAATACCACTGTAGGCATTTAAGAAATAGTTGTAATAGGTGTTAATGTTATAGTTAATTAACATAAGTAGAATTCTAGAATCATTCTCTCAACAGGAATGTAATTATTCTGCTTATAATTTGGACATTTTTTTCTACAACTGATATATTTTTGTTTATTAAGGTACTCATATCAATAGCCATTATATATAATGGCCTCACAAGTTTGTTCTTTTTTAAAGATTTTATTTATTTATTTGAGAGAGAGTACAAGCCAGGGTAGAGGCAGAGGGAGAGGGAGAAGCAGACTCCCCATTGAGCAGGGAGCCCAATCCTGGGCTCCATCCCAGGACCCTAGGATCATGACCTGAGCCGAAGGCAGACCCTTAACCGACTGAGTCACCAAGGGGCCCCCCTTGCAAGTTTATTTAGGACAGTGACTGTGTCTGTAATGTTCATTCTGGTCTCTCCAGAGCCTCTCAGCCCACTGCCTGTCACATAGGAGGTGCTCAATAAACATTTCATTGGATGAGTGGAGCTTTTGATATCCTCCCTCCTTTTTTAGTTCAAATGGGAAAATAATGGTTGGCAAATACTGCAGACATGTTTTTAGCTTAAGAGTAAGTGTCAAGTTTTTGGCGAATGAATTCTGTTCCATAGTTTTAGAGGCTAAATAGAGGCTTTCATCCCTAAACAACTCATATTAGTACAAAATTTGCCACATTGGTTCGTTCTCTCCAGACACACAAATGTCACATAGAGGTTTTTTTCTTTTTGGAGTTGTTTTGGGAAGCTTGCACAGTTTAAAATTGGCGACCTCGGTCAACAAAATAGACTGTTACCGGCGACTTGAGTCCCGGTGAATGCCTGGTCTCCTCCTGCACCCGCTGCTCCCTGCTCGCGTGTCTCCACCCTCCCGCCCCACACCCCACTCACGTGGATGATGCGTTTCTCCGGACTGTTTAGAGACAAGTCCCAGGGAAGATGGCCCTCAATGTTTTTGGTGCAAGTGTTACAAGGGCCACCCTAGGGTACAGTCAGCTTGCTTTAGCTGTGAGGGGCACCTGACTATTCAGGGTCAAGGGAAAATAGCATCAGACGCCCAAAAAGTAAATAGACTGGTAAAACACAGTAAAACAACTAAAGACTTCTTTTCAAAATTCAGGCAGAGTCCTTGCCCTTTGAAGAATAGGAGGTACAAAACAATGGCAAGACAACAGGAATAAAAGCCACATAAATTACTGGGCTGTTCCGTTTCTATTTATAAGGAAAAAACTCCAGTTCATCCTTTATTTTCTGTTTATATTCATGAGAAAAACACAAGGAGATGATAACTATGTAAAAAATTTTTAAAAAGTAAAAAAAAAAAACAACCAACTAACTATGGATCTCAGCACTAACAGCTGAACAGATGAAGGAATTTAAATGTGTTCATCTAAAAATTAAGATCACAATGAGATACCACTTCAGACCCATTAGAATGGTGGTTACGCAAAAAATGGAAAATTTCACATCTTGAAGAGGATGTAGAGAAATTGGGACCTTTGTGCATTGCCGGTGGGAATGTAAAATGGTACAGCTACCGGGGAAAACAGCCCGGTGATTCCTCAAAAAGTTGCACATAGAGTTACCACACGACCCAGCAATTCCACTTTTAGGTATATACCCCAAAGATCTAAAAAGAGGGACTCAAACAGATCTTTCTCCACTACTATTCCCAGCAGCCTTGTTCACAATAGCCAAGAGGTAGAAACAATACAACTGACTGTTCATGATAGAACAGGTGAATGGATAAATGGGAATGTGCTCTATGCATTTCATGGAATATTATTCAGACTTAAAAAGGAAAGCAATTTTGACATATGCTACAACATGGATGGACCTTGAAAATATTGACATCGAGTAAACTAAGCCAGACACAAAGGAGAGCTATTGTATAATTCCACTTAGATTATTTACAAGGAAAGAACTCCAGTTTCATCCTTTATTTTCTTTTTATATTCATGAAAAAACACAAGATTTTAAAACAAAATATGGATCTCAGCATTAACAGCTGAGCAGATGAAGGAATATAGAGTAGTCACATTCATAGGGCCAGAAAGGAAAATACAGGTTACCAGGGGCTAGGGGGAGGGAGAGCAGGGAGTTAGTGTTTAGTAGGTCCAGAGTTTCTGTTTGGAACAATGCAACAGCTTTGGAAATGGAGAGTGGTGACAGTTATATGACATTATAAATGTATCTAAGGCCACTGCAGGGCACACCTGAAAATGGTTTAAATGGTCGTGTTTATGTTACGTATATTCTATCACAATAAAAAAGAATATATTATAAAACTTGTGAATATATTAATTACATTGTAATATATAATTATTACATTAAATACATTAACTACATTAATTACGGCGTTGTAAAAACCTATCACCAGCTGCCACCACCTCCCTCGGAAGAGGGGTTACATAGCCCAGGGGCAGGGTGGTCTTGAATAGCCTGCCTCCACAGGAATGGGAAGAGATGGGAGCTGCCACTGTGTTTCCAAGTCTCCTCAGTAGCTCTTCCACAACACAGAGAGGTGGGGAAAGGAGTTTCTGCATTCAACAGCTGCCCCACTCAGCTCCTCCTTATGGAGCAGGGGTCTGGGGTGGGGAAACCGGCACCCTAGCTTGGCCCCCCACCCAGAGGTCTGCACAGAGCTAAGGACATGGGACTTGCCATTTGGCTGTCAACCTCACTGAACTGATCTCCCACCACACTGGATCTGGGTAGATGGGATGGGTGCAGCCATGTCTTTTACTCTCCCTACTGAGTTTCTTTAGGTGTGGTCAATAAATATTACTTAAATTATTGTAAGCCCTTTCTGGTCCATCTCCGGAGATTTTTGTATGATTGTCTCTGCTACTTTTAATAGTTTAATAGATGTCTCTCTGGGGTTGAGGTTTCAGTGAGATCCTCACAGGACCATTCTGGAAGCTCCTCCTTCTCTGTAGAGTTTAACCTTCATGGAAAGATGTATATTTCTGAACAGCATCATTTTGTGCAGGTCCCTTTGCAGGATCTTTCTTGTAACCTCATGTATTGATCTCATACCTTCTTATACTATCCCAAGGAGAAGTAGAGATAGCAGTCACATCCAGTCTCTGGTTGGCCTAAAAACTTGGAGATGATGTGGTGGTGGGCAAGCCCTTTGCTCAGGGAGTTAACAGTCCAAATAAGGCAAAGGATTTGATTAGATAAACCTGAGGTCAAAAGTAAAGTGTCCCTGCAGGAAGGTAAAGGGATTAACAGCATGGAGGCATGCAGAGCTTTCGGAAAGACCGAGCCCTTTGAAATCCACAAAATCATCTGTGTCTCAGATAGGGGCTTAGAGTGACTTCTGAGGGGATTAGACCCTGTGGTGGTGGCTACTTCCTAGAGATGCAGCATTATTGTCAATGATGTTTATGAAAGGTCCCCTGAGAGGCTGGCATTGTAATTATCTCTTTCTAAGTCTCTGCCTAACCTTGCTTTGGTTTTTGCTTTTTCTTCCTTTAAAGACTCTACTATCACTGGGGATTTCATATTCCTTTTATTTTCAGCTGGTTTTTCAGAAGAGGCAGTTGACTCAATGCTCGGGGTCTACAGTCTTGCAAAACCATGGCTGAGGATTTTAAACATTAGCCTGATTTGAGAAGCAAAGCTATTTTCTTTTTTTTTTTTTTTTGACAGGACAATAAACACCTTTATTACATGACCGAAGGAGGGAGGAAGATTTATTTGCCTTTCCGGGCTTTGATTTTCCTCAGATAGAACTCTAGCTCCTTGCCCTCTAGGATGTAGCCATCTGCTCGGCCACACTGGCCTGGTCGTGAAGCGATGCATGCAAGAAGCTTGCCCTGCTGGAATTGCTCCTCCAGAAAACTGCTGATTTTGGCATTCTTTTTCCTTTCATCATACTTCTTCTGAATTTTCTTTGATCGTTTTTTGTTTAAAATCTCTTCCTCCTCAGGCGTCAGCTTGGCCCCCTTCTTGCGGCCCAGGGGCAGTGCACAGTGGGACTCGTACCACTGTCGGTAAGGTGTGCTGTCAATGAACACAATACAGTTCTTCACCAGGGTCTTGGTGCGGACCAGTTCGTTGTTGGATGCATTGTAGACAACGTCAATAATCCTCGTTTTGCGCGTACAACACTCAGAGCCCCAGGAGAAGTTCCCCACGTCTAGCCTCAAGGCACGGTATTTCTTATTGCCTCCCCGGACTTGGACTGTGTGTATGCGGCGGGGGCCGATCTTGGTGTTGGCAGCGGGGCGTCCAGCACAGCTATTTTCTTCGCTAGGCTTGTGACAGGTTGGAAGGGAAGCTGTCCTTCAACAAAGGCAAATGACACAGTTATCATTGCAAGTCCAGAATGATTAATAGATTTTACCTCATCCATCCCCTCTTCTGACAGAAGTTGGAGAACAGTTTCATTATTACTACTTTCTGGAAGAAGAAACAAAATTATTTGCCAGTTTGCTTGAAATGATGAATTGCTGAAATTAGAGAAGTATCTTTATAATCCTTTTAGACATCTCTTAATGCATCTCTTCATTTTCTTTCCAAAGACCATTTGTTTATTAAGATGTACCCAGTTTGCAATACTTATTGCAAACATCAGTTTAAAATGATTCTTCAGGTGGGATGCCAGAAACTTTAATGCCCCCCTTTGCAATGCTTCTGTATTCTCAGGCTTGTCCTTCCAAACTCCCTCCTGTTCCCCCTTCCCTGCCCAAGGGCATTCTGAATAACAAAGATTTCTGGCTGGACAATGTTTGGGTCAAGTTCAGAGAGTGTTCTTGTGTTTCTTTCATCATCTAATGAGGATGGGGGGCAGGGTGTGCTGTGGTCAGGAGAAGCAAGTCTTAGGGAGGAAGGGCAAACTGAGATCTTTGGATTCAAAGACTGGGGCTCCTTCACTTTCTCTTACATAAAATTTGTATTCATCCCACATTTCCTACTACAAATCACTCTGGTACGACATGACAATGCGGCAGATACACAAGGACTTTTCCCACATCGCACTACAAACACAGCTCCCCTCTCTGGGGAGCCTAAGAGAAACTTTTGGGCTTCCACTTCCCTTCCATTTGTTTGAAGGATCAAGAGAACACAGTTCCATTTTCAACAAAAATTAAAAAGGAAAAATCATGAAAAGAACCAGCCTCCTCTTTTTTTTTTCTCTCTTAATATATTGTTGCATCCAGGGAAGAGGAAGCAGTGAGCGCCACTGATACTGGGTCCCCTGGGACCCTATAAGAGTCACTCCCCAGCTCTCAAATGAACGTGTCTTCCTCCACTTGCACAGCAAGTTTGTAATGGGCTTGGAAGTTACTTTTGGCTCAGCTCTGCTGTGCAAAACTATGAAATGCCGCAGTGTTTCACGATTCAGGCTGTGTTCACACCTGGGTTTTCACAGGGAAGACAGTTTTCAGTTTGAAGGCTTTGTGGAGATTTGAAAAAACCATTAGCCATGCTCCTGCCAGCCTCCATAGGCCTTGCTAGGAACTGTGCATTTCTTAAGGATAGGAACCAATTCCTTCCACACGTTTTTGTGTTTTACTTTTTCTTCAGGCATTGACTGTGGTGCTGTGGGCCAATTCAGTTGGGGACTTAAAATATGACAACATCTCATTTGTCCTGCATTGTTGCCGAAGAATATGTGCACTGGATAAAAATTTCCGGATGACGGTACTGTTGCCCTTCGAAGAGCTTCAAAGGATAATGTTATTTGGAGGGCATCTAGTGAATAAACAGGCAAGTTCATTGTTATTAACTTGCATTATTTTACTGGCTGCATCAGAGATGTCCTCAGGGCCTACAGAGACCAAAAGGACTCTTTGCAGCTTCACTTACCGTCTTGGGAGTTCTAGCATCTTTCCTTGGTTTTCGGATTTCTGACCGTGTGCTCATTTGTCCTCACTTCCACCATTCCTTCCCAGGCTCTGCGTCTGAAAAGCTTCATTGATTTCTTTGGTCCTGATTATTTATTTCATCAGAACTGTAACCCAGAAAAAAACCCCAAGAAACCAGACGGGCTTATTTCTACCTACATTACTTGGTAAGTATGCTCTCTTGCCAACTGAGTAAAGAGCATGGGTTTTAGGATAGCTCTGAGACTCTGATTCATCCTTTCTATCATTATGTGAGGAGATGGACTTTGTATTAAGTGGCATTTTATTTTGTATTTAGAAAAATATACATTTTTGTTATTATGACAATTAGTCTTCAATAGAACAAATCAATTCAACCCTCAAAAGAGCTTTTGAACCATTCACTTATGACTCTTCCTTGCTACCTCCTTAATCAAGGCCGATGTTATCTCTCACAGGCTATTAAAACTGCTTCTTAGTCGTCTCCCAACATCATCCTGGCTTCCTTCCAATCCGTCCTCCACACTACAGCCAGAATGAGCTTTAGAACATGTGAATGTCATCATTTCAGCCCCCTTGCTCAGTGCCTTTCCATGCCAGCCTCTCCTTACATCACTCTTTTGTTCCTGCTGTGTGCGACCACACTGTGTTCTCTCCTTGGCCATGTTCCCTATACCACAGCCCTTTGCACATGCTGTCTGCTCTGTCTGGAATGCCCTTCCCCTGGCTTTCCCCACAGCTGGCTCCTTATATTCTTTTTTTTTTCCAAAGATTTTATTTATTTGACAGAGAGAGATTACAAGTAGACAGAGAGGCGGGGGAGTGGAGGAAGCAGGCTCTCCGCTGAGCAGAGAGCCCCATGTGGGGCTCGATCCCAGGACCCTGAGATCACGACCTAAGCCAAAGGCAGGGACTTAACCCACTGAGCTACCCAGGCACCCCAGCCTCCTTATATTCTAAAGTTCCCAAATTAAACGTCACTTTTTCAGAGAGATAATTCCTGACCATTCTAATTAAAGTAGGTATTCACTATTATTTAGGGTGGATGGACATAGGAGAGTGAACAGAAGAATGAAAATCTTTGTATCACATGTTAACATTCACCAGGTAGCATGCACTATGGAGGAGACATTAAAAAACCAGACAATGACGTTGCCAGTTGAATTCAGCCCTTATCAACAACCACTCCAGTGCTAAAATAAACAAAAAAACCCCACGTATGAATGAAGTAGCCACAGTGATAGATATGGAGGCTACACATGCACCTAACAATGTAAAATACATTTACCAAGTCTGCTCTAACCCTTATTACTACTGAATATCCAACATGCCAGCTGATGCTGATCTTCCAATATGGCACCATTGTTCAGGAAGATCAATTAATCAATTAGTGAGACATTGACTGTATTGAGGCCTTTCCATCTTGAAGAGTCAGTGGTTTTTTCATCATAGGAACAGACCCATACTTCCAAGGGTAGAGACAGGAATCTGCCCCCCCTTGCACCGCCCCGGTCAATACTGATAGTAACACACTATTAGATTTCTCATTCCTGTAACTCTGGGTTCTGCAGGGTTAGAAATTCTCATCCTCAAAAAGGAATACCCTTTCACCAGTGGATTTAGCAAGGGTACCTTTACATTAGAAGCTACAGCTGCCGTCTAGGCATTTTTTGTTCCTTGTTTCCGGGGACCAGCAAACAAGGAATGGTGTCACCATTCTGGCAGAGGTAATCAACACAATCATCAGGAGGGAGAAGGCTGTGATTATTACAAAATGGGTCATGGAGGAATACATGTGGAACCCAGGTCACCCATTCGGGTTTCTTTTGGTACTTCCTTTCCTACTTGTGACTACAAATGAACAAGAACAGCAACCTCATTCTGAAAAGGCCGTATGTCTTCATCCAATTGGACTGCTATAACACAGTATCACAGACTAGGTAGTTTAAGCAATAAATACTTATTTCTCAGAGTTCTGGAGGTTGGGAATTGTAAGATCAAGGTGTTGGCAGGTTCTGTATCTGGTTAAGGGCCAGCTTTGTGGTTTGCCTTCTTGCCGTGTCCTCATGTGGTAGAGAAAGAGAGAACTCTTGGTTTCCTCCTCTTCTTGTAAGGGCACTAATCCCATCAGGAGCAGCTTCCAGGTTTATGACTTCTTCTAACTCTAATTATTTCCCAAAGGCTTACCTCCAAATACTATCACACTAGCGATCAGGGCTTCAACATATAAATTTGGGGTGGGAGGACACAAACTTGTAGTCTATAGCAACTTGGTGGTCAAGGCTCAGACCCCTTGGGAATGAGACTCCAGGTCACACTACTTAAAAAGCCACTGAAACTAGCAGAGGTGGTATCTAATGGTGACAATGATCCAGACAGGTAATGGAGGAAGAAGGAGTATCAGCTGTGTCTCCTAGACTAATGACAACAGTGAGGGCTAAAGTTTATCCCATTCATCTTCCTCTTCTAAGTTTTCCTTCAGAAAGAGAAGCCCACTGGTATCCTTGAGGAGATGTTCCATGAATGCATATGGACAAGTGTACTGGAGTAATGCAAGGGGTAGACTGTAGTAGACACAGGGATGAGGCAAGCAGTGTGTCTCCAAGGAAGGGCTTGTATGGAGCTGTCCGTCAGTAGACAGTCTCCAGCCGCTGGCTCCTTCAGGGTCTGTCCCTGCTACAGAGTCACACCGTCTGAGGTTGTGCCCTTTCCAGGGCAGCCCATACCTGGTAACTGAGCAAGGAGGCTGTGCAAAGCCCTGAGCATCTCTACCCAACATGGCACAACTCTGATGGCCAATCATGGCAGTGAGCCATCTGCTATGTTGAGTGAGCCTTTGTCAGGCCTGTATCACAGCTCGTCCTCTCTCTTTACTCAGCCTTCTCTCCTCCCCTTTCTTTTCACCAGGGCTAATCCCTGGTAAACATCTTGCACCCAGATTTGTCTCATCATCTACTTCCAAAGAAACCAACCCGGTACGTGCTTTGGAGGCAAATGAAGAACTTGCTAACTAGGTTGTTTGGAGCAACTTATTTCACTCTGCTGAACCTCCATTTCTTCATCAGTAAAATGGAAATAACAACATTTGTCTCTCAGGGTTGTGTGAAGTTTGAATAAAATCAAGTGTGTGATCACCTGGCACCATGCGTGGCATAGAACAGTGTATGATGTTTAAAAGTGAAGCACTCACAGAATTGGGGACTTTCCTTGCCAACACAGCTTTGTGGGCTGAGAAGAAGAGCTGAGTGTTCTGTTTTCTGGCCACTTTGCTGGAGACAGTTAACGGCGAATTCTTCCACAGCACGCACCATGAGCTAGGCACTTTTCAGGTGTCTTGCACAATTGACTCAGTTAACCTACAAACAACTTGGTGAGGAAGGTTCCTAATCCCATTTTACAGGTGAGGAAACAGAGGCACAGAGAGGTTCACAAACTGGTCATAGGTCCTAAAGATTGCAAATAGGAGAGCTGGGCTTTGAACCCAGGAAGCTGACACCAGAATTGGTGCTCATGTCCAGTATGGTACATGGCCTCTTGGTTCAACTTTATCCTACAAAGAACTTGACACAGAGGAAGGCCATCTTGTTGCTCACTTCCTACTTCCTCATAACACCCTTCCAGAACTAGTTTTTCTGAATGGGAAAGAAAAAGAGGATGAGGAAGGTGTCATCCCTCCTGCAGATTGTCTGAGGTTCATGAATCCTTTCTGAAGCCTTGAGACAGGGAGAATCCAAAATCTGTATATCCCTGGGGTTGAAGCTCCAAAAGGAACCACCCTGGCAAAAGGGATAAGGGCAGGAGTGAGACACTGATAATCGTAGCTTCCTTGCAAAATTTCAGGTATGTGCAAATAATTGACTCAGCCTTTTCAACATGTCTTTATTTGCTTAAATTAACAAAATATAGGTTACATGCTATTTTCAGGTAAACTGCTTTTTCACCGAAGCAGAAAGCGATATTCACAACTTGGGGTACTACATACTTGGAGTTTTAGTATTTAAATAGCAAGCCAGAGTTCTGTACAAAATCAACATTTGGTGTAATGTTGTCCAAATATGTGAAGGATTTTTAAATGTTAGCTCTGTTACATTTTGTTCCAGCAAAGCAAAGATCAAGATTCAAAATGCAATGTTAATATTTTATTAAATGCCTTTCGGGCTTAATAAATACAGTATGCACATTGGACTTTCTCATGCAGCTACTCATATACAAATATTCCAGTTACCCTTGTGGGGTTATGAACGATCAGCCTCAGTCTAATGGCCAATGGGGAGTCAAATTTTTTTTTTTTTAAAGAAAGAATGGAAGGAATTAGAAGGAAAAACAGGGAGGTAATCATAGGCCTGAAGAAAACGGATAAAAGAAAAATATGCCACTTGGCTGGTTACTTGGCTGTTTCAGAGTGACAGCGGTCAAAATCCTGGAGAGCGTTCGATAGTGACCTATTTTCAGAGTGTCACAAGAAGGCGAATGTTATGCTGCCCTAGCCCTTAGAGAGCTGATAACCTTGGATGGTTTTACCCTGAATTCTCTCGGGGTGATCCCCATGTGCTGTCCTTCAGGTTTGCACTCTTATTCATTAGCCCAGTAGGCAGTTTGGCCAACCCTTCCCTTCGCTCTGCACTTGTGCATGGGTGTTCATAGAATTCGGCACCCCAACTGGGATACTTTTGAGAGTCGAGGTGATGCTCTTAGAATTTTCCTGGGGCAGAGTTATAAACCAGGGTCAGTCCAGGCAAATCAGGATTCTGGTCACTCAATATCATACAAAACCAAGATTTAGCCTTAATTCTTACAAAGTCAATGTATATTTACCATTGGGCTAGATCTAATTAAGTCTCTCATACCCAGAGTCAAGAACTAAAAACAGGCTTTATAATATACTTCCTCACACTTTGTAAATTACTTTTCTTAGACATCTTTTTTCTCCCTCAAAATGAAATTTTACTTGGAAGGCTAACATGAGAAACAGATGAAATGTGAGCCACTTTGAGTGCAGTGGGTGTGAGAGCTGAGAGTTTCTCCTTCTTCCCTAGCAGCTTCGGAGGGGCCTAAGAGGGACCTCTGGCTCCTCAATCCACAATTTGGAAACCACCATTCTAGACCATACTCTCTCCATCTCAACATAAACTTGATCCTCGAACATTCTCACATGATTCATTTGGTTGGAAAAGACTAGAGTTTGGTAATCTAGATTTCCTGGTTCTGGTAAGGCATACCCAGAGCACCATGGAAGTCTGTCTTCAATTACTATAGGCTACTGAGAGAATGAACTTGTGACAGAACCCTGAGAGTTGGAGGCCTCACAGACCATGTTGCCAGCCTCCTGCATGATTTTACCAGAGGCACTAATGAGCTATATTAATAATGAACAGAAGGCAAGCCATGCCTCTGAGGTCTTGGGACATTTTCCCGGCACAGAATTGGGTTTGTACCCTCAGAAACCCACACTATTCCCTTCAGCATACCCTTTGTAGGAGCCTGACCTCAGGAGATGAGTGGGTAGGAAACCCAAACAGCTTTGGCACTTTGCAGTGGTGGTGAGGTTGAAAGAAAGAGCTTTAGGCAAGGGGGCAGGAGAAATGTGTCAGGGATTGACAAAGCGCACAGTGAGGGCAGGGTGGGGGGTGGGGATGATTAGAAGTGGATGAGGCTCAGGGGGAAGCCTTGGCCAAGAGAAAAAGCTGGCATCCAGCCATCAGAGATGGGCCAGGTCTTCTCAAGAAATGTACTGGAACTTTAGGAGGAGAGAAAGCAACACAAGAAACAGTACCTAGCTCTATCAGTAAGAGTTGAAACTACTAACCAAGAGGCAGTTTTTACTTAAACACAGACACAGTACCAGAGGGTTACTGCTTATGGTCAGTCTGCGATGTCCCTTGACCCCTGCTTTACTTGGCACCCGTGCCTAAGGAAAGCCTACAGCTGGGTTCCACCCACCCATGACAGTCATCGCCACCCACTAGAATCATGATTCAAGCATCTAGGGAGAGATAACGAGTCACTGTAGGCTGGCCATGTATTTTTAAACATATTAGGTGACCATAAACATCACAGGCATCATCTTCTAATAAAAAGAGTGTGTGTTTCTACAGAGTGTGTGTGTGTGTGTGTCTGTGTGCGTGCGCACGTACGCGCATGCACACATACGTGTGTCTGTGTCCTTGTGAGACTCTTCCAGATCAGGTAAGAAGCCCTAAGCGAGCAGTATGATTTCAAGGTCTCCTGATCTGTATTTTAATGAGTCTGAAGCCAGAAACACATATTTATGGAGTCCAAAGGAAGGGTCTTGGGAACCACCCTATTAGCCTAGTCGGTCTTTCTCCATCTTCCTGCACAGAAGAATCATCTGGGGAAGACTTTTAGAAAAGACCAGAGCTGGGGATCCGGTCTAGGCCAAACTAAATCAGAATCTCAGAGGTTGAGACCTCAGCATTGATATATATATTTTTAAGTTCCCCTAGATGATTCTAACATGCTGGCAGCATTGAGAACACAATCCAGCATCTCCCTTAGCAGTAATGAGCTGATGGCTATTCTGATAGTCTCAATAAGCAGCACTTAGATGGCCAGGCTTCCTCCCCACGCCCCTAGTTCCAGTGCTGAGGAGAAATCCACTGCTTGTAAGGCAACAACTTCTGCAGTTACTTTATGGGGCCTAGGGCCTCAGAGCAAGATCTCCAGGAGGGAGCTCTACTGAGGACACAAGAGATTAGCCTGCAGGTGCTGACCACTTTGGGGGCCTCTGAAAATATGCTCCAAATGCCACATCTAATGAAGTGAGCTGATGTCAAACGAGGCAGACCTAGGCAGGAATCTAAGTACTGCTGGTTTTTCATTAGCTAAAATTCGTATTTTCTTTAACTTTCTCTCTTATATCTGCACCAACTACTTGAGAATATCCTCTTCAATACCTCACTCTCCTTGTCGTCTCTGGTATGTTGGCTTATTTAATAAAGGTGATTTTCATATATACAACTACTAACATTTTTATCTATCTAGAAAAAGATTATTACTTCCACACATTCAACTAAATCATCATTAATAAGGTAACATATCAAGCACCATATTTTTGCAACTAAAAGGAAATTTACCATGTATTGCATATTAGTCAAAGGAAAACAGAATTTCTGAAAAGCACCTCAGTGTCAGCTTGCAATTAGGTATCTAGAATATGGACAGTCTATTATAGTGGAGTTGTGTAAAATAGCACTGGAGGACCCTGCATGGGTGTTAGAAACCAAGGGCCCAGGGAAAGACCTGAGAAGCATTTACATGACTGAGGATAAACCCCCAGTCATGTAGTCTTGAGCCATTTGTAAAGATTTGCACCATTCGCCGGTCTCCAGCAAATGACAGCTCATGCAGAAAGTTATATTTGAGCTGCCTAGTTCTCATTTTCCAAATGCAATTTTAAAACTGTCCACTTAGATACCTAAAAGCACTGCTTGTTTTTCCATTTTCCTCTCCAGTAATTCTTTTAAACTCTCATCTCGGTGCTTGAAGTACAAGTAATCAGAAAAGGAGGGCCCCCGCCGGGCACTCTGCAGAGCCCTGAGGCGGAGACACTCTTCTCTGGGGGCCAATTCTCTCTCCTGGCTGCCCTCTGCCCCGAGGCTGTCCTTGTTCCTCTCCTGGTGCTCTCCTTTTGGCTTGTCCTCCTCGGCCTCGGCCTCGTCCTCCTCCTCCTCCTCCTCCTCACAGGTGTCCTCGAGTGCCCTGGGAGCCTGCTCGGGCTGTGTGGGTAGATTGTGGGGTGTGCAGGGCTGCCTGCTCTGGGGCGCCAGGCCCGGGCTGTCTCCTCCCACCTCACAGCTGGTGTCCTCCTCCTCTTCCTCATGGCAGGAGCTGCCCCGGGCACTCTCCCCATCTGACTGGAACACTGGCCCCTTTGGCCCACGCTTCTGGGAAAGGTCAAAGGGCTCCTCCTGCTCCAGACTCCTGAGTACTCCTGCCGTCTGGGCCAGGGCAATTCTCCCCCTTCCAAAACCTGTGAGAGCAAAAGTAATATTCAGGCCCCAGGAAAAGCTGTGAAAATGGGTCATTGGGTGGTACCCAGGGCCATTTAGTATAGTTTGATTTTACATTTTAAAAACAAATTCCCAGGGGCACCTGGGAGGCTCTGTTGGTTAAGCATCCCACTCTTGACTTCAGCTCAGGTCATGAGCTCAGGGTCATGAGCTCAGGGTCATGAGTTCAAGCTGCACACTGGGCTCCATATTGGATGTGGAACCTACTTAAAAAAATTAAACTAGATTAAAATAAAATAAAAATAAATAAAAGTAAATTCCCAGTAAGACTGTGGACAGATGGGCCTTGTTATAGATGTAGTTTACATCAGTATAACTCCTTTAAGGTAAATTGGGCGACACGTGCCAAAAGCTTAAAATAAGCATAGCTTGACTTAGCAATTATACCATTAAGGATTTAAACTATGAAAATAGACAGGTGCACAAAATGCATAAGGATGCTCATCACCACATTTTTTTTTTACAGTGAAACTGAAATGATAGAGGTTTATTTAGATGAATAATAACATGAACCATGTGTAGAAGATATAGAGACCTACTAGTAGTGATGAAAAGGTATTCTATGTATTTTAAGTAAAAAACATATTTATCATATACACATATATTTATAGTGTAGTCCCAATTTTATCTATCTTCATCAAAAAACAGATGGAAGGATTTATGTCAAAATCTCAAATATTAAGTGATTCTGACATTTTTTTCTTTTCACTTCTAATACATTTCTCATTATTTTCCATGAGCATATATTTTGCCATGAGAAAAAAATAAAACTATAAGAAAGATGTTTTCATCTTGAAAAATATATGTATACCATTTGGGGCCAAGGAGGCCACTCCACCATAACCAGCCCCTGAGCAGAAATAGGATAGAGAGGGCACAGAGAGATCCAAAGCCCCCGTGTCCAACCACGAGTATCTCGAGTTGGGCACAGCCCTGTGAAAGGCTGTCACTTTGAGTTTCATTTTGAGGGCCCTGCAGGGAGGGATTTTTCAGGAGCCAACAAACACATGGTAAGGCTCTGCCTGGTTTGATCTTAAAGGTCTCTGCTCCTGATAAGCCAGCAGCCAGGCCCTGAGGAGGAGGTGGGGACAATCAGGCTTCCAGGGTGGGGGCACAAAAAGGAGACAGATGTCCAACTCAGCCTGCCTTATGATATTGTCAGGCAATGGAGATGTCTATAGCTTTGATCATATAAGGGGCACAGGGAGGATCTTTTTAATCTGACTCATGATTTTTGAGCCATTTCAAATACTAGAGTGAAAAAGTGCTAACACCTTTTGTAGATGAAAACATTAAAATTGTTGAAAGTCTGTTAACTTTCAAAGCATCTCTCTGATATATAGTGATGCTCTTTATTTTTCCAAAAGAATGACAGAGTCGTTAGGTGCTTTTTAGGATTTAAGCCCCCAATTGGGGTAAGATACAGTGACCAGGTTAGGTTCTCAAATGGAGGACAGTCTCCTCATTGCCTTCTGTCCCCAGCCCCGGTGATTGAACAAACTTCACCTTCTGGAAAAATCCAGGCCTATGTTGGAAATTGGCTCAGACAACTAGAGATGCAAAGAATAATTCAGGAGAAAACCAATTTGGAGAAAGAAAATGGCTTTTGTTTTTTAACCAGAATTTTTTCAGGGCTTTTGCATAAACTCTAGGCTTTGTTTTGCGATGGCCACAGCTCCTTGTCCATCAGGAGCAGTGTGAGCTCAGTGGGTGCCATGAAAACCAGAAAAGCTATCATCATTCTGTTTCATGCTGTGGGTATACATGAGTATCATATTTATGAATACGTGTGCCTATTTGACCACCTCTGAGAAGGGGTAGGAGAAGCAGCTAACATGAACGGATCACCCCACGTTTTCACCGAGTGTAGCGAGCACTGGCTTCATTCAGAAATTTGGCAGTTGGAATCCCAGTTCTGCCTTCAGACTTGGTGTTGGACATTGAACGCTTTATAGTGCCTCTTGATCTTGGTCTCCTCATATAAAACGGGACTAACACAGGCTAGTCTGTGAAACTGTGGGCACAAACAGTCTGTGCTGTCATCACAGCTGTATCAGAAAACAGCAGGTCATAGGATTTCGTAGGTTACATCACTGTGTGTCTGCTCTCCCGTACATGGACCTTCCAGGGAGCAAAGATGGTCTCACTTCCCCAGTCTTTTTGTCAGCACGTAGTGTGCTGTTTGGGATAGAGGTGCATTTCTTTCTTGCCTGTCTGTTGAAGGACCAGTTGATTAAGGAACTAGAGAGCAACCTGCTGAATTTAGCAGATCGGGAACATAGACTCTTGGCGTCTAAAGGCCTGGGAGTGAGAAAATGAAAGAGGTAAGAACGTTTTATCAGTTCAGTGAGGCCTCAGTGTGGGAGGCGGTGGTGCTTGCTCTGCATACGGGCCAGTTAGCCCCACCAAGCAGGAAAACTGTCCCTGGGTGCCTCTGGTTGTGAACACTGACCCTAGCCTGCTACACACACACTTCTGCCAACGAGGAGCTTACAGAGACCTGTTTCTTAGAAAGGAAAGAAAAATCACATGTTCTTTAACTGCAGAGCGATGAAAAAGACCCACTAAAGGCTTTAGGGTTGGAAAGGTCTGTATTCAAATGTTGACTCTGCCCCTTTTGAGTTGAGCAGCTTTGGGAAAGTCATGAAGCCTCAGTTACTCCCATCTGTAAAATGGGGGTAATAGAAGTTCCTCTCACCCTGAGCTGTTGAAAGATTGAAGGAGCCAAGACACCTAATGTGGTGTCAGGAGCCAAAACTAATAACGGTACTGACTGGCATCATTCTGATATTCCAATTTCTCCTCTATAATTCACTTCTACATACTACCTTCAGATAGTGGCACTGTATTTGTTATAGTCATGTTGTAAGCCTCTTCCTTCTCTGCTGTGGTCTTGAAAATTATGATCCCTTTTCAACAATAGGAATAGCCCCCCAAAGTAAAGCCCCCTAAAAACAAATTCAGCTCCCTTTTGTTATCCACTGGTCTCAGCAGCCTTGGGTGCTTCCTGGAGGAGAGATTACCTTGAGAATGGAGGCCCCGCTCCATGACCCCATGCTTGACTTTCATGTGGCGTGTCAGGTTCCCCTTTAGGGTGAATTTACTTGGACAGTAAAGACACTTGAAGGGTTTGCTGTCGGAGTGCAGGTGCATGTGACCCATGAGGTTGTGCATCCGGTTGAATTCCTTTCCACACAGCTGTCAGAAACAATGATGAGGGGAAGACAGGTCAGTTGCGGTGGTGGGCCCTGCCAGATGATCCCACACCCGGGCCTGAGTAAGGATGGACGTGCTTTGACTTTGTGGGGATCCTGGCATTTGAAGTGACCTCCAAGTGAAAGGTCCCCAGTGACATTAGGGAGGGCCTAGATGGTGCCTAGGTTCAGAGGGGAAGCCGGTAGGGATGGACTCCTGAGATTGTGTCCCTATTACATTAAACATAAGGCAAAACTCGCAAAACTATTACAGCTTCATTTTAATGTAAGCTGTAGAAAAGGAGAAAGGCTGATCTGAAAAGCAAGTCTCCAAGTATGCTTCACTTTAAGAGCAAGTATATGATCGCTTGTTTAATGCTTATGGAGCATTATAGCATAGAAGATACTGTCCCAAGGCCGCTGTAGAGTATCACATCTAATTCCCACATCAGTCCCCTGAGTTGGGTGCTGTTATCACTCCCATTTTGCAGACGGGCAAACTGAGGGATGAAGGCACTTTGGCCAAGGCACACAGATAATGGGTGCTGGAGCTGGGAAAATGAACTAAGGCCACTAGCCACCAGAGGCCATATGGTCAAACACCACACCATCCTGTGTACCCTCAACATAATTTTTTTGTTAGACTGTATCGTGCAATGTCTTTCTAATTTTTTAATTGGCTTCTTGTGGGGATGGGTGTCAAAATTAGAAGAAACAAATAGAGACCTAAAGGAAGGAATGCGTCTTGTCTGTGGGCAGAGATTTGAAGTACTGAAAATATTATCTCAGCTATACAAAAAGTAAATGTGTTTTATTTGTTTCTTTCTTTTTGTCCTTTTGTCATTTCTTTTTCCAACAAAGTGCAGATGTGTGTTGGGTTAGAACGGTGGTTCTCCAACTTCTTTTGTAAGAAGGGTTTGGAGAATCCAGCCCTTCCTTGGCTGTGCAGGGAAAAAAGAGAAAGAAGGTTTTCTGTCTGTGCTAAGGCCAGAGTTAAGGGAGGAACATTTTCCTTCCCTCTCCAACCTTGGAGGCCCATGTTGTGAGGGCACTGAGATGAGGGGAGAGATGGCTTGGAGAGAGGTCTTGGGGTACAGTGTCCCCTGAGCTGACACCAGTTTTCCTTTCTCACAGAGAGAGATTTTCAGGGACAGTGTTGTGGATTCTGAATGGAATGTTTATTAATGAAGGCACTGTTTCATTCAGGCGGCCTTGGAAGTAAGAGTTAAGCTGGCCCTGCAAAATGGGTAGACCTAACAGTGACCTTGGGAGGCCAGACGAAAAGAATGCTGGGTGGTAAGAGACAGCCAGCTGGGATGACAACTTTGTCACAGACAATCCTCGCATGGATAATGAATAATTGGTTCTGTATTTGTAAATGATTCATGTTTCAGGGTTTTGAGTACTTTTTTCCCCTTTTAACTTCCTTACTGGCAAGAATGAATTTGGCATACTGGTGTCCCACGCTCGGTATTCAGAGCATCTGCACACCACATTCATGGGGAAAAGGTGACCCAAGAGGGAAAAGGCTGGGAGTGTTGGTCTAATTTTAATGTCCTGGGGAGAAGCCCTGCATGTGGGATGGACACTTGCCTTCTTTTATTCTCAATAGAGACGATTTGGTAAGATGAATCAATCTGTAACTCAGCTTTGCACGTGTGTGGAAGTTCTGGTACAGTACTATTTATTAGCTTCACTTAGTTTATCTAGTTCTCCCTCCTGGCTAGGGAGGAAAGCAAGCTTTAAGTCTAGAGATTCTATATTAGGTATTTCCACTCATGAGTCTTTTTAGAAAAAGTTTATCTCCTTTGGTTTGTGGGATGGTTCCTGATTATTTGGAGTGAGGTTGCCACAAAAGATCTGAAAACAACACAAACCCTGGGTGGTTAAGCATAAGACACATAGGAGGAAAGGAGCAGAAGGCTGCAAGATTAGACTACTACACTAGTCCAAGCTTGAATGGGTCTCATGGTAGTTTAATCGAGACAAAATTGAAGAGATGGGTGCCTTCTGGACTTGGTTCCTATAAAGGGGAGATTCTGCTTTTAGTTATTATCTCTAGTTGCTAAGGTATTAGAAGCTGGACTTGTCTGAAAGGGTTTTTATAAAGGAGATGGAATTTTAGCCTAACCTTGAGGAATGTATAGGGTGCTGTTTGTTTTTGTGTTCATACAGAATAAAATCTCTTCATTATTTTCAGGGACTTTATTCAACCTTAATCTACAGGCAACATCGTGATCACCGTTGTGGTAATGACCAACTATTTGTTGTTGCCACAGCTACTGTGACTTGAGGGTCAGAGGAATAATGCAGTTCACCTGCTCTGAGGTCCCACTTCCCTTTCCCCATTCCCCAACCCAACCCACTCCCACCCCAATGCACAGAGAGGTGTGCACACACCAGAATGGCTACCGATAAGTAATTTCCACATTCTTTCTTAGCTTTAAACAAGCCACATTTTATGATCCTTTAATATAGCCCAGTGTGTTTTTCTACCATAATGTTTTTCTGACTCAATTCATTCACTCCTAAACATTGTGGGACATTTTTAGTGGTACAAGAGTATATCAGGACATTAAAGTGATATTGTCCCCTGAACTCAAAGCATATGGCTTGGGGAAGGTCCACAGTGGGGGATGGGATTACTGGTCAGCTATATTATCTGAGAGTGACTGGTAGAGGAGACTTATTTCTGTGCTGTTGGTAACGTTAACTGTTTATATATCAGAGTTACCCTTCATGGTTTATGGTAGCCTATCGGGCCCACCAATGGAAAGCTTTTGCAGGGTTGAAGGAAGGTGTGTCAACTCAGAAAGATGTCCGGGGCACTAAAGGAGCCCTAGGTTATTTTCTGAAATGCAAGGGGTACCTTCCTTATCTTTGTGGTCAGCCTCAGGATCAAGCACAGAGTTATCCACACAGTAACACTTAATAAATACCTAAGTATTTAGTTGCAGGAAGAAGCAAACAAGTCAGGAAAATATCACTACCCCATGCAAAAATTCCAAAAAGCAGCCATCACCAAATATCTTCCTTTCTCCCACTAAAATACGTATAAGCCCTATACACACTAGTTCATAAACCAGAATCCCTAGTGGGAGAAGGATAGATAGGGACAAGTACTCAGGACCTGAGATACTAGACACTATTCACATCTCTGTGGTAGAAACCCTTAGCTTCTTCCTTTCAACTTCTGACCCTTCCACAAAACCCTTTGGTCCTTGTCCAGAATATCTGGCCTCTTTTTCTTTCTCAGAAGACCATCCTCACATGACAATAGATGATTGTAGAAGGTACTTTATGTCTGTGAAATTCAGAGTCCCATCATTCCCTGTTAGTGAAAAGAGGCCAGAGAAAATGAACTGGGTGAATTGAAGATGGCACCCTCGGGTGGGGTTTGAGATGTGAGCTCCAAGAAGAGTCATTACAGTAGAGAAGGGGAAGTAGATGGGAAGAAAGAAGAAGAGTCGGGGAGGATCACCAAAATGCTAGTTTCTTCTCCTGGGAAATGCAGTTAGTCTATGTCTAGGCCCCTTATAATCATGAGATATGCGGCTAAGAGCTTACCCACGTCAAGACTTGCTGAATCATCTCCTGCCAAGGTCTGTGGGGGATTAAATTAGGGCAGCTGTCAATACAGGAAGCTCCTGGAATGGTGAAGTCTCAGATTTCATGGTGCAGGTGGTCATCTCAAGGGGTCTGCCCCTCCTGAACTCTCGGTTGCTCTAATGAGGGGTATTCATGTGCCTCTGACCTCAAATCTCACTTTTTCATCAAAGACCCACTTTTATGCTTACTTTTTAAATGGAGGGGGACCTCAACATTTAATAGAAAATTGGAACAAATATTTTGAACCATCCTTTAAAAGTGGGCTGTGTGAATCATTAGGTTTGGAGATAGCAGAGCAGAGAGGTGATGGTGAGACCACAGAAGGAGAGAGAACTTGCTCCATTTTCTCTTCTGTAAAATGTCAATGACCATAATAGTTTCTTATGAAGGTTGTTGTAAGGATCAAATGAGATAATTCATGTAAAGGGCTTGCTAAACAGTAAATATTAGCATCATTATCATGTACATAGTAGTCTCTCACATTCTGGAAATCGAGAGATCTTTAGAGAGAAGAGTGTTTTTTAAACCAATTATTTGGAGGAAATATTAACAGGAGGACGAAGTAAGGAGTCCTTTGAGTAAATAGTCACCAGGTCACTTGAGGCATACAGAAATGGAAGGAGCTGTGTCTGACCCCACACTGAGAAATGTGGTTGGAAAGAGAAGTTCATCCTGAATTGCAGCCTTTGGGAGAGCCCTTTCCGTGGCTCCCCAATCCTCAGCCCTTTTAATAACTGGCCGATGCCCAGTTCACTTATCCAGATTCTGGCCTCCTCATACCCCTTCCCTCCCTGTCCAGGGCCTGGAGGCACCTCAGGCCACTTCCCGTGAGCTGCAGTGACAATGTGGACAGCCAGCGACACCAAGAAGCCGGCTGCGTGCAGAGACGAGGTGATGGCAGTAGGCCACCCTGGGCCAGAGGCCCACAGAGCCGAGAAGAGGCACGCCACTTCGTGCCAACCAGCTACTCTGAGCCTGAGGACTGTGATACACCAGGAAGCCTGTGTTTTCCTATTCTAAGAGAAAAGGTCAAAGAGCCGAAGCCTGCAGCCGAGGAGAATGGCCTCTGCTCAGCTGCCCTTCCCTTACATTCTTCTCTCTCTCTCTCTCTTTTAATAAGAAGGGTGTTCCTTTCCTCAAAGGGAGAGAGAGGGAGGGAGGGAGAGAGAGACTGTAAACTGTCCAAAAGGACCGTGAGAAAACAGGAAGCTTTGAAAAGTACAAGAGAAAGCAAGATGAAATCTATTTGCAGGCGGGCCCCTGGGGACATGTGAGGCATTGTGAAGCAGGCAGTTCATACAGCTATATCCTTCCTTCTGCTGAGGAGGGCTGTGCTGCCAAAAGGCTGCTATCTGGTCACTGCCTTAACTCTCTCCATGCCAGTCTGAGAGCCCTGACCCAAAGTTCTGGGCCCCTAAAAGTCCCCCTCTGGTTTGTCCCCCACGGGGCCTCCAAGAGCTGGAACGGGAAGCAGAGCCACGGTGGCAAAGGCGGTGGGGACCCTTTCCAAGGAGACCTCCTCCTCTTCTATCAACTCTGCCCTCCGCCTTCAGGCCTCTGCCTCAGACGAGGCTGCAGATGACCTGGTGACTCATAACTTAGGCAGCTCCCGGCTTCACCCATCTCAGAGGAGAATTTGTCCCGGAAACTCTGGATGGCTGCTTTTCCTGGACAGGTTTCCCAAAGACGGCAGCTGGTTCTTTGCTATTATGGAGTGTGGCTGCTACAAGGATAGCATCCCGATCAACCCCTGCGTGCTTACGCAGAATCTGGGAAGCATATTTGTGAAACATGGCTCAAGTCTAGAGGCGCAGGTCTTTGGAGCTATTCCAGCTGGCTCCAAGAAGCAGGGAGTCCAAAAGTGAAGCCAATAGCAAAAGAGCCCAGAAGGGCAGTAATTTTTTTTAAGGAAAAAAAAAAAGAAATATAGAATGGAAAATCTTTCCTCTCCTCTGATTTTCCATCCCATTGTTAATGCTTAATCTCACAGTGAGCGAATGTTCTGCTTGTTGTGGACAGCTGTGTCCACTGAGCATGGGGCCAGAGAGAGCCAGGCCAGGTTACAACAGGGGCCAGACTTCTAGGTTAGCCAGGATTTTTAGTGGTGAGAAACCTGAGAGAGTAGAACCTGTTACATAAACAATCTCCCCTTTTTACAAGGTTTTGGGTCAAAGAGACAAAGCTAACTCTTAGAGCATGATTGGAGCAAGGTCTGCCTCTTTTTCCAGCCATGCCAATCATGAAAAGAGACTATCTCCTCCTTGTTACCCGTGAGAAACCTTGGGTTTCATTTTCTGGGCCTCTTCTCCAACATCACTATGCAGTCAGCCAGCCACTCATCTCTCACTGGCTGTGAATTTTGTAGCGATGAGCACATGGCCCTCCAGCATATGGTAGGACACCATCTCGAGATGGCCCAGTCCTACAGTGGGATCTGGAGCTAGTTTACAAACACACAGAGCCCTGTCACATACTCTGGAAACTCAGACATGTGCTGAAATTCCTTTGAAATGAAGAAAGGTGATGACACAAAGAGGATACCAACCAGGGGAGCACTTGGCAGGAACATGGGGACAGGGAGATGGGGAAAGGGAGATGCTTCTGACACCTTCCCAGAAGTAGAAGGCTCTTCAGTGAGATGACGGATACCTGTTCTTGTTTCAGAGATGTCTAAGAATGGAGAAGGGCCACCTGTTTGACAAAATACCCTTCAACGACAACTTGTTTTTTCTACAGATAGACACATTCTCCTAGGCAACCTCCTGACCCATAGTTTGGTCTCCTGGGAAAACCAGGATGGTTTCTGCAGATAACTCATCTAATTCCCACAACAGGCCCATCTGCCACTGAAGAATATAAACTGTATACATCATCTCAGAGCTGGCATTTCAACCTGCAGGACTCTTTTGTGGAAGCTGGTGGTGTGAGCATACATCTAGAGCCTAATGCACACTCAAGGAGAGGTCACATTGAGTTTCTAAACCATGGAGTGGAACTTCAGGTGCCTGTTGAGCCCTGTATGGTGCACCATCACTGGGGTGGATGGAGGACGAGGGGAGGCATAAAGCATTGAGCAGGACTGGCTCACTGATCATTGGGCCCAGTTTGCACTACCATGTGCAATCTTCTGGACACTGGTACCAGAGAGAGCCTTCTAAACCCTCAGATACCACCTGGTTCAAGAAATCCTCCAGGCCCCTCTGAGGCCCTTGAGGTAGGCACACAGAACTGCCTCTGCATCCCCAGGTCAAACCCAGCCTGCAAGCCCTTTTCCTGTCGCTGCTGTGCTCCCTGACATATCCCTTGTTTCATAGATATTTTCCGCCTGGTTTAACCACTACTGCTGGACCTGAATTGATGAGGTAGAAGTGGGAGTTGGTTGGACTGAACACGTATGGAAGGGACAGCAAGCATGACTCCCTTCATGTTTTAACAAGGTACATGTTCAGCCACCGGTTGATAAGATAGAAAACCCAGTTCATGCTTAAAACCCAAGAGTAAACTCAGTGTAACGCATGAGGAGTGACCGACAGTGCCTGTTTGCACCCCCACTGTAGGAGACAGCAAACCCCTAGCAGGCAGGAACAGCTCTGTTAAAAGCAAGGGCTCAAGTGGGAAGTGGGAGGGAAATCAAGGTGTCTAATGAGAGAGCAAAGAGGTGGGTGGAATCCCCAGGCTCATGCTGCCAGGACTGGCTCCATGGACATGTGACCAATGCAGTCACACAGGCCCCAACTCAAGAGTCCTGAGTTTACCACCTTGAAATTCTTCATAATGTTTGAACAAGGGCCCTCATATTTTCATTTTGCTCCAGGCACTATGAATCATGTATCCCCGTTTGCAGGCAGCTTCCTCCCCCTTGAGCTCAGATGACTCAAGATGGACATAAATTGACTTTCAAACCACTGGGAACTTGAAGGAAAAGAGGGGAAACACAAGTGGGTGGCAGGAAAGGGCTGGAGGGAGAAACCTCCCTCCCCCACCTCCAGAGAATGCTCACAGAGGTCTAGGGAAGCTCTGGTTCCTGACCCCTCTCACCCTGTCCAGGAGCGGCCAACACAGGAAAGCAGTTTGCTTCACAGGGGGTTCCTTCAAGTGGGGGGGGGGCAGGGGACATGCTATAGAGGGATTAAAGGAGGAACAGCCCCTTGGATGGATGGAGCATATCATGGGGACCCCATCAGACATACAGTGACTAAGAAGAAAAACTTCATTTCAAACAGAGAGGCTCTAACTGAAGTTGTGATTCCCCTCTCCTTCCCCCTCAGCCCTCTCTTCACCATGGGGATGACACATGTCTGTGCATTCCTTGAATTAAATTACCCAATCCTCAGCAAAATTCCTTCTCACTCTGGAGGTGGAGAAGGGGAACAATGTGAGGAGGGGATGGGAAGAGTGGGGAAGAGTCTGGAAAACCCAAGCATTTCTAAGTAATACCAGTCACTGTTTTGAGTTTTACAAATCTCCAGCTCCCATGTGATCTCTGCTGATAAAATAAAAATCCAACAAGTTAACGTGATACAGACATTTTAATGAAGGTGCTCAGTCCTTGCACTCCATGGTACTTAGGAACAAATGGGAAACACTTCAAATGACTGCACTCACCTTGACCCAAACAAGTATTTCTAAGGTCATCAGAGGGGCTAACCTCAGAATCTCATTCATCTTGCTTGGGAGACCTGCCCTCAAATTACATGGCTCAGTCCAAGTGTCAGGAGGGCAAGAGAGGAGCTATGAGAAGGGAGGGGCAGTGCTAGAAGCCTCTCTGACTCCTTTCTCTATTCTACTCATTGGCTTGTAAGGAGAAGAGGACTATACCCAACTGTTCCTTTCTAGAATGGGAACTCTCCGCATCACCTTCATCCTCTAACAACCTCATTCCCCAAATGGGCCTTCCATCCTCAGACCTCCCTTACTAGCTCCATCCTCCCCTGCACAGTCTGATTCCACAGTAAGACAAACAGGGCAGGCTTCTCAGGGACCAGCTAAGGCCTGGTGTGAGCATAGGTGGTGCAAGGAGGAACAGAGCAGCAGATGGGCCTGGGGCTGGCCACAGACCTACTCTGAGCCTGGGTGACCCCACGGATGAAGCAAGTAGAAAGTTTCCCAGAGATTCTCCCCCACAGGGCATTAGCATAACCTTCTGAGTCCTCCCCACCCGTATCCCTCCTGGGGTCCATTGCTCACCTTGCATTTGAAAGGCTTTACATCAGAGTGGACGATCATGTGTGCCTTGAGGGTCTGTTTCTGCACAAAACTCTTGTAGCAGAGGTGACACTGGTAGGCGCGAATGTTGGTGTGGATCAGCACGTGTCTCTTCATGTTGGCCAACAGAGTGAACTCCCGCCCGCAAATCCCACATTTGTGTTCCTTCACGCCCTGGAGGGAAGCAAGATTCCAAACATGCTGTGGTTAGCAGGTAACACGCTTTCTTTCATCAGAATTATTGTCTTCATTTTTCTCTTTGCCACACAAGTCCATGAAAAGCTTGGTGACAGATGCTGAGTCCCAAATGGTGTGGCATTAGCCTTGTGAATTGCTGTTTTCTTGAAAAGTGTTGCTTACATACTCTTTTTTTGTTTTCTGAAAACCAGGAACTAAGCCAGAACTTTAGAGGAAAAGAAAGCTACAACTCTTATTCCTGCTGCTACAGGGGTTAATTCTACAGTAACAGTTCTGGGCATTAATAGGATTTTGGTAAGAGCACTATGGAATGATATGTGAAATGATTCTATAATCCACCTTTCCTGATAATGGAAAAATAAACCTCCTCAAGTGATAACGTCATTTCTCATATGAAAACCAATGTTTCCTTGCCTTCTCATTAATGGACTTGAAAATCCCAGAAGAACAATTCATATGCACACTTGAATAAATTACAATTTGATAATCACCTCTTGAAATAGTCTCCTGGGCTCCTACAGGTCACGGTGACCTCTACGTGATTTGGCTATGGAGGCTCAGCTCAGCTAGCTTCTGTCCTATAGGGAAATTTGGCAGAGGACAGCTTTCTAAATTAGAAAACAGGACAGAAGGAGACTTTCTACTTTCCTTGCTGTTTATGGAGAAGTGTTTGAATACCTAAACATCAATGCCCTCAGTTGAAAGCACTCCCAGGGACTCATAGCATTATATTATCTATTCTGGACTCACCAGTGCTTTCCTGATAAGATATTTGCAAGCCATCTTAACACAAAAGGGCTTTTCAGAAGGAAAACTTAGAGAATGATGGTGTTAAAACTAAGGTTGTTACAGGATTATAACAAGTTACTTAGCTAATAACTGTACCTTATAAAACACATATTATCTGGTATCCTTAGTGACCTGGGGAGAGAGGAGTTCCAAGTTTAGCTCTGAGTCTCTTTGCCTATATGTCCATTTCTTTAATGTGGGCCATGATAAGAATGGTTCTGGTGAGTTCTGGTGAGTTCTGGCTCAGTTCTGGTGAGCCCATGGCACGCAAGGGTGAGTCCAGGTCTCTGCCCAGTCATGTACTGGCTGTGTAACTTCAGACAAGTTTCATGGCCTTTCCTGGTGATGGCTCTCCCTCATCTCAAGATGTGGTGGTGGGTCATGAGAATCAGGGACTCTTTCCAGCTGGAATACTCTTGAGTCTAGATGATTGTAGGTGAGTATGAATCTATGGTAAGGAAGAGACCTAAATTTTAATGGCCTCCTAAGAAGATGAATTTTAACAAGGTGTTGCATATTCAAGCCATGAGTTTAAAATTTTAAAATTAATAAAAATTATGTTCTTGATGGGTTTTAAACATTACTTTAGCATCTTTCTTCTCAAGATTGTCTCTACACTTGTCTGTGCAACCAAGGAGAAGAGTCTACTTATCACTGGTTTTGGAATTCTCTAAAGAGAATTCAGTGTCCCAGGTAAAATTCACATGTAGGCTGGCCTACAACTCCAGTGAATGGAAGGCTGGACACAACTTGGGGAAAAAAGGAAGTGACTGTGTCACTAAGCGGATCAGTGATAGCGTAGAGAGAGAGCCCATGGGAATTGTCAGAAGTGAGGAAGAGAAATGAGGAGAAGGGGGACACGTGACAGTAGCATTCAAAAGTTGGACTCCCGGATTCTGGGTGACTGTCCCATGCCTCAGTGCCTTCATTTGCAAATCTGGAGCAAAGATACCCACAGGTACGGGCGCCTGGGTGGCTCAGTGGGTTAAAGCCTCTGCCTTCGCCTCAGGTCATGATCCTAGGGTCCTGGAATCGAGCCCCACATTGGGCTCTCTGCTCAGCGCTCAGTAGGGAGCCTGCTTCCCCCCCACCCTCTGCCTGCCTCTCTGCCTACTTGTGATCTCTGTCTGTCAAATAAATAAAATAAAATCTTAAAAAAAAAAAAAAAAGATACCCACAGGTAGCTCTTAGAGTTGTTGACAAGGATCAAATGAGAAGTAAAGCACCTGTGACACAGCAAGTGTTCAATAAATACTACCTCTCATTGTTTGCTGACACTGTGGATTAAAATGTGTTTAGCTTCCTAATTCAAATGCGACATTTCAGATACCAGGCTGTTTTGTCCATTTTTACTTCATTTTCTACTATCTTACAGAATTTTTTTGTGTTCCAAAATGCATCTTTGGCTCCTTTTCCATGCATGTAGGAGCCCCTGAAATCAGCATATGGTCCCCTTTGTGGCTGAATCTCAGCACAGGTTCTTTGTTGATGGCTCCTGCATTAGGCAGGTGCCTCCTGTCCGGATGGTGCCTTTAATAGGGCAGAAGCTGTTGGTACACTACCCACAAGGCAGCCACCCACTTCACCTCTGCGGCAGAGCCAAAAATGCCCATGTTGTGTCCTAGCCTAGCAAATGAAACTCATTATGGCAGAGTAGAGATACTATCTTGGCTGGGCAAAGTCCTCCACTGACCTTTCTGAGCTAAAGAGTGCTTTAGAAACGCTGGCTTAGGAACGCCTGGGTGGCTCAGTTGGTTAAGCAGCTGCCTTCAGCTCAGGTCATGATCCCAGCGTCCTGGGATCGAGTCCCACATCGGGCTCCTTGCTCATCAGGGAGCCTGCTTCTCCCTCTGCCTCTGCCTGCCATTCTGTCTGCCTGTGCTTGCTCTCTCTCCCTCTCTCTCTCTGACTAATAAATAAAAAAATAAAATCTTTAAAAAAAAAAAAAATCGCTGGCTTACTAGAAGTCTCTTCTGCCAAGAAAACCACTTGAGGTCAAAAGCGTGAGGGTAGAGGTCAGTGGGGCAAAGTTCCTCTCTGGGGAAGCTCGAAGCCAACCCAAGTCAGCTTAGCGGGGTAAGATTTCTGGGATACGACTGGGGCCTGGCCTTAGTTCATCCTGCCTGTCTCCAGAGCTCTGCTTGCAGACTAGGCTGAGCTTAGAACCCTGGGCCTGTATTCCCCCGTTAAAGACCTGAGCCCAGGGAAGATAAAACCAAAGCAAACAGAAGGATGCTATCTCATGCCTCCCACAAAAGACACCACAGGGCACTGCAGGCAACCAGCCAGGGGCTCTGCTAGAGGAAGCACAGGCCTTGCTGGACCCAGAACCATATGCATATGAAGCAGTTCTCACAGCGAAGGGAGAAAACAACCCAAAATGTAGCCACTGCTCCAGCAGCAAAGGACCAATAGAAGTATTTAGAAGAAGGCTCTGATGAGTATATCCCAGGCACAGAGCTGGTTTTGGGTAAATGAGGCCTAAGAACACACTCGTGCTAGTGCCCTGGATGAGGTTTCCAGACACTGAATTTTAGGGTTTGTAGGAGGCTAAGAAGCAACAGCACAAGAACCTGTTGTTTCCTTCGGCCTTCCTCACCCTCCTTTCCAAACTGGCCACATTATTTATTTCGAGGCCCATCTTAGACTCTAGAAGGCTGGATGGGAAAGGACTTGCTTGCTGGTGTCTCAACCAAGGGGAGAAAGGAGGTGAGGACTCAGGGAAGCAGCCCCTTGCCCCTCCAGTCCTAAGCGGAGGGCAGCGAAGGGCCCCTGGCCCCCTCCACCCCGCTCCTACCAGGGGCTCTGCGCCTGCTCCCCAAGTGCCCGCCCCCGGGGCCGGCAGAGCCCACGGTACCTTGTGGGTGAGCGAGTGCTGCTTGAGGTGGTGGGGCTGCACGAACTCCATGCCGCACTCGGAGCAGATGTAGGGCCGGATGTCCTTGTGCTTCATCATGTGGTTCTGCAGCTGGCTCGGGTACTGGAAGGTCTTGTTGCACTCGGAGCAGCTGTACTGGATGGGGCCGCGGTGCGTGGTGAGGTGCCTCTTGAGCTGGGCCAACGTGGGGAAGTCGAGGCCGCACTCGACGCAGATGTTGTCGCGCCCGCTGGCGTGCTTGGCCTCGTGGGCCTTGAGCTCGCTGGGGTAGGCGAAGCCACGGCCGCACACGCGGCAGTTGTGCGGCTTCACCTCGCTGTGCTGCATCATGTGGCGCTTCAGGTGGCTGGTCTGCGTGAAGGCCTTGTGGCACACCTGGCACTTGTGGGGCCGCGTGCCCTGGTGGGTGAGCATGTGGGTGTGCAGGTGGCTGAGCTGCTTAAAGAGCTTCCCGCAGCGCGTGCACGCGTGCGGCTTGATCCCGCTGTGGCCCAGGATGTGGGTGACCAGGTTGTACTTGGAGGTGTAGGACTTCTCGCAGGTGGGGCACTGCCAGCGCTTCTGCGCCCCGCCCACGTCCACGTAGTAGCTGTCGTCGATGCGCACGTTCACGTCCACCCGCTCCACCTTCTGCTTGGTATCCTCGCTCTCCGGAGGTTCGGCTTTGCGCGGCAGCAGCGCTTCCGGGGGCTGCTTGGGCATGAAGGTGTGCCGGCCGAAGGGGAAGGGGGAGGCCGAGGGCATGAAGAAGGGGAACATGAGCCCCGGGGGCACCTTGGGGTAGTAGGGGTAGGGCGTGGGCAGGAACGGGGCCGGCTGGGGCCACACGGCGCTGGGCTTCACGGGCTCCTGCTTGACGGGCTTGCCCCCCAAGTGTTCCAGGGTGCGGTAGAATTGGAAGCCCACGTTGCACAGGTCGATCATTTGCGAGTCATACTTGGGGCGCGGGGGCTGCGGAAAGAGCAGAGGGAGGCTCGGAGGGCCTTGGTTTTTGCTCTCCTCAGAGTGGAGGGAGAGAGGGGCCTCTTCCGCGGGGTGGTTGTACGGCATCTTAGTGGGCATGCTCTTCCGTTTCCGGGACCCTCCTCCTTCAAAGACCCCCGGGAATCCGTCTAGGTGTCCGGGAGGAGGCTCATACCGAAATTGGGAAAAAGGCCCCCGGAGAGCTTCTGGGAAGGGGTGCCTTTGGGGAGCTTTCCCTCGGGAAACCACTGGCTGCAGGCAGTGGGGAAAGGAGGGAGCTCTCTTCACACCCAGACTGAAGTGCACATCCTCATCTTTGATCATCTTCATTTCCTTCTGCATCCTTGGCAATTTTCCTTTAAAGAGAAAGAAACTTGCTGTTTAAAAAAAGAGTCCCTTTTTTCCCCTGAAGGGTTCTGGCTATGTATCAGTACTAATTTATGAAGAATGATGCTTGTTTACTACTGACCCTCACTTATCCTAGGGCTGTTTGAAGTATGATTTTTTTTTCCTCTTACAGACCCATTTCCTGGAGAGCCCTGGCCCCCTGGATTGGGACCCTAGAGGTTCAGTCTAAATCCATAGCCATAGAATCCTAGCTGGGGTTTGGCGGGGAGGGCGTGAGAGTACACTGAACTGGGAAGAAACCTGAGAGTTCAACCAGCCATGGTGCCCACTTAGGATGAAGTTACAAAAAAAAAAAAAAAAAAAAAAAAATGAGGGTAACAAGACCCAGACAGATGAGGTGACGTGCTGAAGCCCACAGCTGGTCAGGGCAGGAGTCAGAACTGGGACCCATTCTGATAGTGTGAGATGGAACTGTCATCTGTTAGTGGTGACTTACATTTGTCTTTGGGGTTGAAGGAACCAATTTCCCCTGCCCCTCTCTGTCTTGGGGGCCTTGGCTGCTGGAGGGTGGGGAGTACTCAGGTCCACACAGGTGAAGAGATTTGCCTGCTTAACTGGGATCTCAGATTTTCTGAGTTACCCACTCCAAGCAAGGTGTGCTGCCGGGGTATATCAAGTGGATGAGGTCAATGGGATCCAGAAAAGCCTATAAGCCAATGTCACAGAGTCATCTTGGCAACTTTTGCATTTTCATCTTCCACCTGGAGCAACCTCAGGTGCAAATTTCCAAGATTGTGGATCTCTAAAACTGTGCTTGCCGCTCCTCCTTTCACACAGGTGTTCGGGTAAAGCCTGACTTTCAGTGATTCCTGAGGTGCGTGACATTTCCTTGCTGAGCCAGTTACTGACTGCATCCTGGTGACTACATCAGGTATGGGGGAGAGCCTGTGAACTGGAGTGTAAACCAAGGACTCTGCTTCCTTTCACGTGTCTCCTTGCCATTTTTCTACACTCCTCATGTGGATAGTGGTAGAAAGAACCAAGTGGTTCTGACTCCATGTTTCCAGGGAGGCCCTTTGTACTGAAGTCCTCTGAGCTTGAATAGGATACCTAGGGCCCTGGCCCTGTGAGAATGGCTACATGCTGAGCAATGTAGGGTGAGGGTCCCAGGGGTGAGGGAACCAACGGCTTCTACTGATTTTCTTCAGTCCTTGATGGACCAAATGTAGATTCACAAGGACCTAGATAGTCCCAAAATTGCACATGTGTCTTCATGGGAGGTTTAAAAACTGAAGCACAGTTAAAACAAAGTGGGTCTTTTTACATTGGATTACCAATTCCATATACAGATGAGCCTACTGAGAGAAAATATATGTGTTTTTATTATATGAATATTTGGGCATTACTTAAAACTGTTACATAAAATCATCAGAAAATGAAAAAATAATGGCATTAATCTTTGCTTTGTATTTATGTGGTGGTTTGTCTTCTTTCCATGGGTTTGGAACTTAGTGATTAAGAGCAAGAGCTTGCTTATTTAGCACTGACCAGAATTTATTAATTTTTTGTGTGTGTATTTTCTTGTTAAGCAGGTATTAGATAATGCATGGCTAATGATGTCTGGTATCTCTATACCACGTGTTATACCTTCTACTAGAAAGCTACTTACATGGAAATGGATGTTACCACTAAATTTGAAATAGCTGTTTTGGTATATACATATTATTATTGCCTTTGTTTAGTATCTTTGTTTTTAGTTGTGATGTAGTCTACTAATTGAGTCACTTTACTGTGTTAGAGGTGACATTTTTAGTACAATACTAATTTCAAAAGCATACTTGTTTTCAGTGTTTGCATTTTATCACCATCAACCTAGTAAGGCAAAGAAACATTGTTGAACAGAGATATTGTGTTTTTAAATATCCGCAGCAGAGTTGTGGCCCCCAAAGGCAGAGATTTTCTGTATACGCATTTCAATTTCCTCCCTATTTTAATATGATTAAAATTTTCCCCAGTTTCTGACTTGTGTGTATACATACCCTACCCCTAAAACAGTAGTGTGCCTATTCTGGAATAAAATCATTAATTCAGGAGCTTTAAAAAGACATTGAGATCCATCCACAGGCATTTTCCCAGAACTTTAAAACAGCAGTCCCCTCTGCATAAAGATCTTAAGGGATACTACCAGTCCCTACAGAGGTCAAGGAAAACTGGATCTGTTTCCTCTCAGCCCTCTTGAGAGAGAAATCAGCCATAGCTGCTGCTACTTATTAATATCCCTGTCTTCTGAGCACAGGGTGCTAAGGAGAAGCCCTAAGGGGTAAAAGAAAACCACAAAAAGCAAACTCATTGGGGGTGGGGAACGTTGAAGGGAAGAACAGGGAAAGGATGTTTTCCCCAGGAGGTAATTTATCTTGAAATCAGTCAACTTACAATTCTGGCCTCTACAAAAATATTAACAAACTCCTAGAAATCCTCAATGTGGGCCACCCACAGACTCCCCTCTATTTCTAAAAATACATCCACAGGCATCCATGGCAGATAGGGATTCCGATTCAGGCGGCAAGAATGGGTTCCCATTCAGGTGGCAAGAGAGATCTGAGTGACACAGTCATCTTCTTGGTCAAAGGCAGACGAGTGGGGAACGGCAGGCCCTCCCCTGGCCAGTAAGCCGTGGCTTCCCCCAGAAAACTGGCATGTCGTAAGACCGTTCCCCACTAGGATGAGCAAGACCATATGTAAAAAAGAAGAACTGAAATTGTAAAATAGCCACCTGTGGGATAGTTTGGAGCTTTGCTTTGGAGGCTGAGGATCTAGATTTGAATTCTTTGTGTTGGTAGCTGTGAGGAACTGAGCAAGTTAACTTTGGGGCTTGGTTTCCTTGGGAGTTGGGATATCCCCACTAAGTTGTTGGAAACTTAAAATAGAGCATGTATGTGAAAGACAGCATGGTACTCTCGAGGTATAAGAAAGAGTAGACAGGAGGGGAGGATTGCTGTTGTGATCGGTAGACTGATGCTGACTGACAGCATCTCTTTTCTCCATGCTGAAGCTCTTGGTCAGCCTCTGGGTCTCTGCTTTGCAAGTCAGAACATAGACTGGACTCATTAACCCTGAGTTGATCTTGTCACAGCAGTGGATGTGAACCACACTACAACAGGCCAGTGGGTGAGGTCAGGACATGGGTATTCATTCAGTGTGGGGATCAAACTTCTGGTTTGAGACTACTCCCCCATCCCTTCTCTCTGGCTGTCTTTCCTATTATGGTGATGGCTCTGGGCCTACATTAATAATAGATGGCAACTTACTGTCAAATGATTTGTTCAATAAATACTTACACATGTATACATCTCTTAAGAGAAATGAAAGTCTCTTTCATTTGCAGATGTAATCTTGCAGTTTTCTGTAAATTGAACTTTTTTTCAAAATAAAAAGTCAAATTATACATTGTACATCTCTTAAGAGGAAAAAAAAAAAAAAAGAACAGATGGGTTTGGTGAGTGGGGACCAAAGGGATGTGGTGGGCTTGTAAGGTCTTCAGCCAGTCTGTGGGAAGCTGAAGGATTGCCCCTAGTCTAATATCAGAGGTCACCTTCCCAGAGACAGGAGGATCTGTTTGTCAAACCCCAAGTCTCAGATACTTAGGACAGTGCTGAGCCAACAGTGGCCAACTGACTCTCACAATTCCTGCTAAACTGTGAGGGCAGGAACTGGGTCTGTTTTGTTCACCCGGCACGGTGCCGGATGCCAAGGAAATGCTCAAGAAATTGCTATGGGAGAGAAGGGAGGAAAGCTCTTGTTTTTAGTCTCCATATGGAACTTTTCAATGTATAATTTTATCTTTATTTAGCCTGCAGATGACTTTTTGAGACATCCCTAATCAGAGCATGAGCACATTCATAAACTCTCAGGTAATTATTGTGGGAGGAACTTGAAATATACACCTTGTGTGTGCTATTGCTTACCCTCCTCAGTTTCCAAGGGCTGCCTTCCCTGACCTGATCCTCAAATCAGGGTAAGCCCTACATCCTGGCTATTTCCAGGATGCAAAGTATATGGAAGCTAATGCTGGGAAGCCATCCTCAAAGTGCTTTATAAGGGTCTGCAACCCAGTTGGAAAACAGATGCCCAAAAAGGCCAACAGGCAAGAGTGACTAGAAAGACAGACCTTTGGGGTGCCTGGGTGGCTCAGTCAGTTAAGCATCTGCCTCTTAATCTCAGCTCAGGCCTTGATCTCAGGGGTGTGAGTCAAGCCCTGCATGGAGCCTACTTTAAAAAGGTGGGGGGAGGCGTGGATCAAGAATGTGAAACCTAGACCAAGACTAAGTAGTCACCCTGTGCTCTTCCACCCAAAGGAGACATTTTGTGCTGTGAGGTGAGTGTGGAGGTTTAGAATAATCACAGATTTTCATTGCTACTGTCCGAGAATGTCCCTGACTTTCTTCCTTGTATACTCAAATCACCAAGGAAAATGGGCTGTAAATCAGGAAGCAAATAATTTCAGGAGGAAAATACTGGGTTGATCTGTGTTAGAAGAATCTGGGACTTAAGATGTCTTCTTTCATGGGTATTATCCACAAGAGTTAGGGATGAGGAAATGGGGAATGAAAGGATTTTAAAAACAAAAATAAAATCTTCTGAACCATAAAGACCAATTAGAAACGCAAGGCCTACGATGAAACCACATTTAGTTTGGGGAAAAAAAAAATTCTTCTAATAATGCCCTTTAATCAGGAATTCACCTACTGCACTAAAATATAAATATTCCCCAGATAAAATTACTGGTATTTTGTGGTTCTCACTCGAATCTAAGGTCATTCCAGTAAATGGTATAAGAAGAGTCATGGTGAGTCAGCATGCCAGAGGCAGATCTGCTTACCTTACCTCCATAATACTGATTTTTGTTCATCTTGAAATTCATGGAAAAATATTCTCTCACATTCTTTACTCCTTGAAGCTTTCCACATTTCATTGGAAAATGTTACATCTTGCTA